AAAGAGAGGCTGGATTCATAGAGATTTCTGGCAACAGAACTGATAAGATTTGGCAACACCATCAAATATAACTGTCATCAAATTTGAGAACTTTTAGGTCATTGTTTCCTCAAATCTTTTCTGCATTGTTTTCTATCTCCTTTCAGACTCCACTTATATTCATGTTAGACCTTCTGATATTGTCCTACAAGTGACAGAGTCTTTGTTCATTTTTATTTTAAATCTTCTCCCTCTTTGTTATTTAGATTGAATAATTGCTATTATGTATCTTCAAATTCATTGATTCTTTTTGTCATCTTCAATTCGCTCTTAAACCCATCCAGTGAGTTTTTCTTCTTCCTTTCGGATATTATATTTTTTATTTCTACAGTTTCCATTTGGTTCTTTGTTAGAATTTCTATTTCTCTATTGAAATTTCCTCTACTAACTTATTGTGATCATATTTTTCTTTACATTTCTAAATAGTTGTAACAGCTGCTTTAAAATCTTGTCTGTTAATTCCAGTTTCTGGGAGCAATTCTCCACTGCTTATCTTTGTTCTTTAGTATGGGTATCACTTTCTGTTTTCCTCATATTTGGTCATTTTGTTTTGCAACCTGAATCCTGTACAGAATACACTACACTTCTCTGGAGATTACTGATGTTTTATTAGTTTTCACAACAAGATACCTTGGCAAACTTAAACTCCAAACTGTTTGCCCCAAGGTGGTCAGCAGCTGAACTCTCTATTCAATCCCTCCAGTCTTGGGTGGCTGTTCCCTACCACACATGCACATGTCATAAGTCAACCAGACATTTGGACAGAGTTAACATGCAGAATCTGGGACTCTCCTTCTGTGTCTCTCTCCTTTCTGGGATTTTCACCCTCACTCTCCAGTCATTATGGTAACCCTGAATACAGTGCTGACTGAAGCTGCCCTCAAGTGACAAGTATTAACTATGAAAAAGCTCCCTGGGCACTATTCTATTTCCAACTACCAATGCTTCTACAGTTTCTGCCCACCTTTGTTTATCCTCCAGTAGCTTCAGATAGTTGATTATATATATATATGTATATATATATACATATATATGTATATATATATACATATATATATACATATATATATATATATACACATACACACACACACACACACACAAACACAACATGTGCATATGCATCTGTGTGTGTATAAAATTATGTTTGTATTGTGTGTATGTGTGTGTAATTGTTGACAATGGAATGTTGATCTGATCTGAGCTACTCTGCCACTACCAAGAGAACACATACCTAATATGAGATTAGATGTATTCTCTGTTTAGAAAGTAACCAGGGGAAAAATAAGTAAGTAATAAAGTCCTTAAATGAAAAGTGAAATATATCAAGAAAAAAACAAATAACCCTAAGAAAAGTAAGCAAAGGAATGAACAAGTATATCACAGAGGGGGAAAGACAAATGGTCAATAAACATATAAAAAATGATCAACTCTAGCAATAGTCAAGTAACTTCAAATTAAAATAACAATATTATACCTATTTTTTGACAAAAACCAAGCTCTATTACAAAGCTGTCATCATCAAGACAGCATGGTACTGGCACAAAAACAGACACATAGATCAATGGAACAGAATAGAGAGCCCAGAAATAGACCCTCAACTCTATGGTCAACTAATCTTCGACAAAGCACGTAAGAATGTCCAATGGAAAAAAGATAGCCTCTTCAACAAATGGTGTTGGGAAAATTGGACAGCCACATGCAGAAAAATGAAATTGGATCATTTCCTTACACCACACACGAAAATAGACTCAAAATGGATGAAGGACCTCAATGTGAGAAAGGAAACCATCAAAATCCTTGAGGAGAACACAGGCAGCAACCTCTTCGACCTCAACCGCAGCAACATCTTCCTAGGAACATTGCCAAAGGCAAGGGAAGCAAGGGCAAAAATGAACTATTGGGATTTTATCAAGATCAAAAGCTTTTGCACAGCAAAGGAAACAGGTAACAAAACCAAAAGACAACTGACAGAATGGGAGAAGATATTTGCAAATGACATATCAGATAAAGGGCTAGTGTCCAAAATCTATAAAGAACTTAGCAAACTCAACACCCAAAGAACAAATAATCCAATCAAGAAATGGGCAGAAGACATGAACAGACATTTCTGCAAAGAAGACATCCAGATGGCCAACAGACACATGAAAAAGTGCTCCATATCACTCGGCATCAGGGAAATACAAATCAAAACCACAATGAGATATCACCTCACACCAGTCAGAATGGCTAAAATTAACAAGTCAGGAAATGACAGATGCTGGAGAGGATGCCGAGAAAGGGGAACCCTCCTACACTGTTGGTGGGAATGCAAGCTGGTGCAACCACTCAGGAAAACAGCATGGAGGTTCCTCAAAATATTGAAAATAGAACTACCCTATGACCCAGCAATTGCACTGCTGGGTATTTACCCTAAAGATACAAACGTAGTGATCCGAAGGGGCACGTGCACCCGAATGTTTATAGCAGCAATGTCTACAATAGCCAAACTATGGAAAGAACCTAGATGTCCATCAACAGATGAATGGATAAAGAAGATGTGGTATATATACACAGTGGAATACTATGCAGCCATCAAAAGAAATGAAATCTTGCCATTTGCGATGACGTGGATGGAACTAGAGGGTATCATGCTTAGCAAAATAAGCCAATCGGAGAAAGACAACTATCATATGATCTCCCTGATATGAGGGAGAGGAGATGCAACATGGGGGGTTAATGGGGTAGGAGAAGAGTAAATGAAACAAGATGGGATTGGGAGGGAGACAAACCATAAGTGACTCTTAATCTCACAAAACAAACTGAGGGTTGATGGGGGGAGGGGGGTTGGGGGGGGGGGGGGTTATGGACATTGGGGAGGGTATGTGCTATGGTGAGTGCTGTGAAGTATATAAACCTGGCAATTCACAGACCTGTACCCCTGGGGATAAAAATATATGTTTATAAAAAATATATATATATATTTCCTTTTGAAAAAAGAAAAAAAAAACTAAGACAACTAACAACCAAGATATGGATCAATTGGAATTTCTATACAGTGCTTAGAGGAAGACAAAAATTGTACAGTGGAAAATAATGATACTGTTTTGGAAAGTTGATCATTTGCTATTCCATTCCAAAATATACACAACATAGAAAATCTCTTTATGCATCAGGAGTACTAGAATGTTCAGAGAAGCATGTTTCATAATAATATAAAAAAAAATCATGGAAACCAAATATCCACTTCCAAAAGAGTGGAGAAATTTCATACATTCTCAAAGTTAATATTCCACAACGATGAAAAGAATAACCTACCACTAGACATTAATATATATTATCTTAGAAATAGTATCAAGTAGAAAAAGACTAAATACATACATTATGAAACTATTTTTACAAAGCTCAAAAAACAAGGAACTAAATAATATCTTATTTCAATTCATATGTCTACATAGTAAAATTATTTTTTATAGATATTATTTATTTACTTGAGAGAGAGCAAGAGAGAGAAAGAGAAACTGCACACAGGGGCAGAGGAAGAAGCAGACTCCCCACTGAGCAGAAAGCCCAACATGGGGTTCCATCCCAGGACCCTGAGATCATGACCTGAACCAAAGCAGATGCTTAACCAATTGAGCCACCCAGGTGTCCCACTAAAACGATTTTTTTTAAAAAGAATGATTTATGAAAAATTCAGCATAGAGATCACCTCTGGGGGAAGAAACAAGAGATGGATAAGAATAAAAATGTATTGGTATTTTTCTAATTCTTAAGGAGGGGATGGGTTCACAGGCATTACTTTGAAAATATGCTTCATAAATTACTCATTTTTTACATATAATCTTTTGTATGCTTAAAATAAAATATTAAAATGTAGAAGAGGCATAAAATGAATAGAACTTGAAAAAAAGATGAATAGAAGTGTAATACCAGGAGAGATATCTTGCTGTCATGTTTTTAGCTGAGTAAATACTACATGCCTAAATATATTTTTTGTAAATCCCAACTTTAATAACATTTAAATAGTTAGGTACTTGAATGTCTTTTTGAATTAGCATATTTTTTGGAGTAATAAGACTTTGAAAAGTCATATTTTTGTCCAAAAAAATGACATTCTGAGTATTCATAACATAGTGGCTTGTATAAAACATTTTTTGATGAATTAATTTTTCTTTTAAATATTTTATTTATTTGACAGTAAGAGAGAGAGCACAGGTAGGAGAAGCAGCAGGCAGAGGGGGAAGGAGCAGCAAACTCCCCACTGAGCAGGGAGCAGGACACGGGACTCCTCCCAGGACTCTGAGATCATGACCTGAGCTGAAGGCAGATGCTTAACTGACTGAGCTACCCAGGCGCCCCTTGATGAAATAATTTTGACTTCAATTTTAACATTCTGGCACTTGAAGCTTAGTACTTAAGTTTATTACTTAAACAGGCCCTTCCCTTTGGTTTACAACTAGTTTAGAGCATACTAAGCAACTATTATTATTGAGACAGAAAATATTAAAATTCATCATTCCCAAATAAGGTTTCTGAGTTAAGTTCTCTCCTATGCCAAAATCTTGTCTAAACTGATACATGCTTTTTTTTTTTTGTCAAAATGTGGGTCATTTTGAAAGAAATGCTTTCATAAGAAAACCATGTATGATTAATGTTAATTTGAAAAGATACCCTAAAATTCTGTGGTCTTCTGAACATCACATGTTGAAAGAAAGCTATTTGGGATCATATTGTAAGCTTCCCAAAAAGGCAAAGGAGTCTTTTTCTAGTGATGTTATAGAGTTCATCTTGAAAGCAGCTGGAAATATTTAGGGAAATAGTCACAATTTAGAATGTAATTAGATTCTTAGTCATCAGGGTAAAGAACGTACCAGACAACAATCAGTATGCCAGGCTTTTTCAAACCAAGGACAGAAAGTGAATTGCAAATCTAGAAAAGATTTCCAGAAGGGAAAAACATTCTTATTTCTTCTACTTACCAAGTATGTTTTAAGTTCTCTTGGGTTGGTTTTTCCAATCTGGTGATACTGGAACACTGAAAAATTTAAGTATAAGTGATTAAGAGCTGGGAAAAGTTGAGATCCTTCCCATTCAAGAGTAGTTTACAGACCAGATGGGATCTTGGTTGAAATTCAGAACCAAGTCTGGGGGCCACCCAGGCTTACTGAGTCAAAAATCTTCATTTCCACAAGACCCCCCACATAATTTATGTGCCCATTAAATTGAGGGACTCCCTGGTGTAGACGGAGTTTATTTCAAATAAAATTACATAAAAATCATATTCTTTTCTTCAGGTTATTATATTTCACATAAATGCTGTGAATAATAAGGAAGTCCTAAAGAGAGATGATACACTTTGCTTTTCCTCTCTCTTCTAACTAAAACAAAAAATGATGATTATATCTCCTTTCCTGGATATTAATTTTTGTGAACTGGGAAAGTTAGAAAAGCAGGTGTTTCCCTTAGGATGAAGGACACATACAAGATCTTCAAGGGCAAATATTAAGCTAGAATTATTATTCTGTTAAAAATCCTTTCCTGTTGTGTTTTCTTTTAAGTTAAAAAAAGACCAAAACCACACCCACTTATCCCAGTAGACATTAACCTTTCAGTGTATGAAGGTTGAGTTAAGGAGAATTGCAAGAAGCCAGCTAAGATGCTGCCATAAGAGTTTATAGGTAACATGAAACTAAACGTGTTTTACTTAGAAACCAGGCTTTTCCTAATTTCCAGCAAGTCCTGTCAGTTCTTGGTCCACTGAACTATGGGCACCTGTGCTCCATTTCCTCTGAAAGCCTTATCCAAATCATCACAGTCTCTCAGCTGGGCCAGAGCCTCCTAACCAACAGGTCCCCCTCCTTCCCGTTTGGCTTCCCTCTAGCCCTTCTCAGATGGCAGTCGGGGGGCCCTTTATAAACACAAACCAGACCACCCCCTCCTGGCTCAGGCCTTCCATAGCTCCTATGCAGTGGCCCAACGGACACTGCATGGAAAGGCCCCTGCCTCACTTAACACAGGTATCCTCCTGCTCCCCCATGGTATACCCACACCAGCCTCAAGTTCCCATTTCTGGCCCTTTCCTGCCTCTGGTCTCTGTACCTTCTCCTCTCATCCTATCCCAACACAAACACTCTGGCTCATTCTCATCTTTCAACTCAAAGTTTACCTCTGCAGAACAGCCTGTCCTGGCCAGGCCACCTTATCTGAAATAGCAGCTTGCCCCTCATACCCTCCACTCTATGGCTGTCACTGCTTCTCTCCTAGTATCCTATGGTGTAATCTGTAATCATCTTGTTGATTGGTTCTCCTGCTTACTGCCTGTCTCCCGAGCTAGACTCTGTGGTCCATGGAAACAGAGGCTGGTCTACCTTTCTCACTGCCTGATCCCAAGCTTCCAGGACAGTATCTGGCACATAGGAGTGCCAAGTAAACATATAATGAATGAATCAATGAGTGAAATTAAAGAAATTAACATTATAAAGATATGATTCCTAGACAGTTATTAAACATATATTGTAGTTAGTGATTGCTCTGTAACTTTATTCAAATAGAAAAAAAACCCTTAAATATATTCCAGTGATATTACTGAACTATAAATCATCATTAATATCACTTTCATGTTTTTTCATAATTATAATCCGTAGATACTGTGGCCACTAGACTAGGGAGAATATATTGGTCACCCAAGTCAAGCAGTCCAAATCACCTTTTATATTACAAGTATTTTCCTAAGAATCATATCTAATGTCACACTGATGATGGTCTCAGCTAGTTGTCTGCCCAATCCATTTTCCCTTCTCCTTCCCTAATAGACCTCTATTGTTTTGGGAACATAAACGTGCCCAGATGGCACTTCTCAGCCTGCCTTTCAGTCAAGTGAAACACATGTTCTGGCCAAAGAGACAGAAACTTCAATCTTCAGAGAAAGTTTTGCATTCTTTTTTTTTTATTATTATTATTTTTATAAACATATAATATATTACTTGCACCAGGGGTACAAGTCTGTGAATCATCAGGCTTACACATTTCACAGCACTCACCAAAAGTTTTGCATTCTTTTTTTCTTTTCCAAGATTTTATTTATTTGACAGACAGAGATCACAAGTAGGCAGAGAGGTAAGCAGAGAGAGAGGAGGAAGCAGGCTCCCCACTGAGCAGAGAGCCTGATGCGGGGCTGGATCCCAGGACCCTGGGACCATGACCTGAGCTGAAGGCAGAGGCTTTAACCCACTGAGCCACCCAGGTGCCCCAAGTTTTGCATTCTTGATAAAGATTCCACTAATTGCTCTGGGATGCTCCCTTCTATTACCAGCCTGGAAGTTGAACATGGTGGCTTGAGCTGCAGCAGCCCCCACTTAACCATGAGGAAAATATGAAAAGAAGCACAGAGATCTTGCTTCAGATAGTCTCAAGACACTGAACCAAAACCAGCAACTGATGCTTACCTCCAGATTTCTTGGTGAGCAAATGTGACTGTTTAAGCCATTGTTTTCTGATGTACTCTGCTACCTTAAAACCTGCAGTGAATGTTTTCCTATACATGCTACTCTACTCATTCTCTCCATGAGAACCAGAACCATCTTTTAAGAACCAGTTCAAGCATCCTTCCCTCCACAAGCCTTCCACATCCCTCCGAGGCAGGGTCCCTCTCATTCTTCTGGGCCTCCCAGTGCCATTACAACAGTGACTTGTGCTATAACTGTCTTGTTATGTGCCTGTTCCCTCGGGTCTGTGAGACACAGGCCTGATATCTCATTCAGCTTTGCATCTTAATTAAACACCTAACATGCCACTGATTACCACACCCCTGAAAATCATTCACCAAATAAAGGAATGAATGTCCTTCAGCCCATGGGTACTGTTTTGGAACCATTACATCTCACTGTGTCTATGAATAATTCATTTTTAAGCACCTACTACTTGCAAGACTCTATATTAAGGATAAAGTGCTGGACAAAGTGGACAAAATTTTGTCCCTGTGTAGATATTCCTCCATTGAAAAAACTTAAACAAATTGAGTGCAAATCAATTAGAGGGTATTGCAGGATATTGACTCTGAGCAGTAGTAAGTCATGAAGGCAGAGATGTTATATACCCCAAGGCAGTAATGGAATGCAAAAAGTATTATTTAGAAAATAAAAGAGAAGTCTAAGTCTGCCTCGTTAGAATGTTAAGAAGAAAATCAATAATTCCTCTTCCACTATTTATGCTGGATCTAGTTACTACTAAGGAATAGAAGAGAAAAAACTAAGATGAACCAGAAATACTTCTACTTATACACTCAGATACATGTACAGTGATGTGTTTTACATGATTGTTACATTATAACAGTCAAAATTTGGAAACAATCTAAATATTCCTCAACAGTGGATCCATTAAATAAAATACAGTAATTTCATACTACAGAATATTAGGTGGCCATTAAAAGAATGAGGAAGCCCTACAGCTACTGCTGTAGGGAAAAAAACAAACAAACAAACAAACAAAAAAAAACCTTCTGAGATAGATAATGAAAAGAGAAGGGAAGCCTCAGAATAACATAGATTGCAGAGGGAAGGGAAGGAAGCAGGGGTGAAAACTGACACAAGAAAAAAAAAAAAAAAACCTGAATAGTACTGCATCTATGAAAGAAATTAAACTTGTAACTTCTTTCCCAAGGAAAAAACACCAGGCTCAGCTTTAATCCTTGATTCCTACAAAACTTTCAAGGAAAAAAATAATACCTATATTACATAACATCTTCCAGAGAAAAGAAACAAGGGAATATTTACAATCTCATTTTATGTGGGCAGCATGTTGACGTCAAAATCTGATAAGAATTTTACAAGAAATAAATACACCAAGAACAAGCCACTGTCTCCCATAAGCATCGTTGTAAAAATCATACACACAATATAAACAAACTAAATCCTATGGTCCATAAAAAGAATTAAACACCACAACCAAGATTGGCTTGCCCCAGAAATGCACAATTTGATATTTGGAACCTACTAATAAAATTCTACATACTCACAGGGAAAAAAAAAAAAAAAGAAAGAAAGAAAGAAAAAACTCACATGGTCATCTCAAAAGGTCCAGAAAAAAAATCATTTGATAAAAGTCAGCATTCATTCTTGGTAGAAAAAAATTCAACAGATTAGGAATACAAGGGAAATTCCTTAATCTGATAAAAGAAAGCTACAAGAACAAAACAAATCAAAATAGAAAAAATCCTATAGCAAACATAGTAATTCACAGTGAAATAGGAAAAGCCTAACCCGTATCTCACCCTCATTACCCTGCGTATAATAAACTATAAAAATATTTGCCATTAAATTAATAAACCAAATCAGAGAGAGCTGAGAAGTAACAACAGAGATGTTCTAACATAAATGGCTGATATGTACAAGGTCATGACAAACTAAATAAGGTATTCCAAAAATGTTTGTTGTATTATTTAATTAAATACACTCTGGAATTACAATCATTCAGCTCAGGAATAATGGCAGTTCAATTTAAATTTGGCTCAGCAAATTAAATGCAAAATTTGAAACAGTGCAATAGCAAATAGGTCGATTTATTTCTTGTGTATTCATATTTGTTTTCACCTTGTCTTGAATACCTTTTACTCAGTTACATCTAAGAATTTAATTTTATATTCTTAATTGCATGTTACTACTGACTTTTTGGTTTTCTTTGTAAGTTACTTTAAGTTAGTCGTGGAAGTAACCCCTGAAAAAATAAATAAAAAACAAATAAAAGTTGGTTAAAGCAGAACTCAGCTAACAAAGTCACTCTTTTTAAGGCCTCAAATTTTCTTATTGTGAGAAAAAAATATGTATCTAAATAACACCATATCCTAAAACATATTGTTCTTTGCCATTTAAAAATAGTTATTATTATTTTTAATTTAAATTCAATTAGCCAACACATAGTATAAAATTAGTTTCTGATATAATGTTCAATGATTCATCAGTTGCATATAACATCCAGTGCTCATCACATCACATGCCTTCCTTAATGTCCATCACCCAGTTACTCCATCCACCCACCCAA